AGGGAGAATGACTTCTGGTCCTAATGGATTCACAGGAGAATTCTATCAAACTTTTAAGGAACAATTAATACCTATACTTCACAAATTATTCTCAAAAATTAAGAAAGAATTACCGTACCAGAATCTTTATGAGACAAATAGAGTCCTGATACCTAAAACACTGAAGGACAATTATAGCCAATATCTTTAATGAATATTGATTTAAAAATTTTAAACAAATCCCATCAAACAGACTACAGTTATTTATCCAAGAAATCATTCATTATGACTGAGTTGGATTTATAACAACTCATTATACTGAGTTGGATGCAAGGATAGTTCAATATTAGGAAAACAATAAACAGAATTAACCATATTAAAAACAAAAACATCCAACACCATGTAAATGATCTCAATAAATGCAAAAAAAGTCTTTGGCAAAATACGAGACTCATTTGTGCTTCAAAAAAAAAAAACACAAAAAAAACCAACAACTACAAAGTATAGGGAGATGTACTTTTTTTTTTGATGAGGCAATCGGGGTTAAGTGACTTGCCTAGGGTCACATAGCTAGTAAGTATCACATATCTGAGGCCGGATTTGAACTCAGGTCTTCCTGACTTCAGGGCCAGTGCTCTATCCACTGTGCCATCTAGCTGCCCTGGGATTTCTGTTTTAATTTCATAAAATGTATCTATCTAAATCCAAAAGCAAGTATCATATGCAATGGGGATACACTAGAATGTTTTCCTGTAAATACAGGAGTAAATCAAAAATGTCCACTTTCCTCTCTTTTATTTGACATAGTACTGGAAATTCTAGCAACAGAAATAAGATAAGAGAAAGAAAGTAAAAGCATAAAGATAAAGTGGAGATAAAGCTGTCCCTATTGGGAGATAATATGATGGTATACTTGGAAAATCCTAAAGAATCAGCAAAGATATTAAGATAATAATGGCTTCAGCAAAGTTGCAGGCTATAAAATAAACTCAAAAATTTGCAACAGTTCTCTATAATAATAACAGAATCCAAGAAGAAATAATAGAAAGGGAAATCCCATTCCAAATAACTACAAAATGCAATAAAGTATCTGGATTGATTTACCAAAGTACACAGAAGACTTGTATAGATGCATTTACAAAATGCTTTCTAAAGAAAGACAGAACAACTTAAATAGCTAGAAGAATATTCAGTGCTCGTGGCTGAGCTGTGTCATTATAGTAAAAACAATAATAATAAAAATAATAACAATAACAATAACATAAAACACTACCAAAGTTAATTACCACTTTTAATACTATTTAGATTACTTTCCAGAACTTGATAAAATAAGAACAAAATTCATTTTAAAAAAATATCTAGAATATTAAGAGAGATTTTGAAAAGAAGTAGGGACAAAGGAGAATAGCACTTCCAGACCTCAAACTATATTATAAAGGAACAGTCATCAAAACCATCTGGTATTGGTTAAAAAGTAGAGGAGTAAATCAATGGGACAAGTCTAGACAAGGGAGATGTAGAAACAATGGAAATTAATTACTTTGATAACATAAATTACCTAGGAAAGAACTCTTTATTTGATAAAAACTGCTGGGAAAACTGGAGAGCAGTCCGGTAGAAATTAGGCTTACACCAGCACCTTCTACCATGTTCCACATTACATTGTGAATGGATATGTGATCTTTATATTAAAGATCAGACTATAAAAAAATTTAAAAAGAAACAGATTACATACCTCTCATAGTGATGGATAGGAGATGTATTCTGAATTAAGCAAAATATAGCAGCAATTACAAAAGATAATATAGATAACTTTGATTAAATGAAACTGAAAGGCTTCTGCACAGATAAAATTAGTGCACCTAAGATGAGAAGGAAGTGGCTGAATGAGAAAAAGAATCTTGATATCAAATTCTCTGACAAGAGTTTGGTATCCAAAATAGATAAATTATTAATAAATATATCCCTGCTTACACACACACACACACACACACACACACACACACACACACACATTCTGTCTTGCTCCTTGCTCCAGACAGCCAAAATAGAAGCAATGGGTAGAAGTTGCAAAGAGAAAAACTTAGGCTTGATATAAGGAAAATGTCCCAATAATTAAGAGCTAAAATGAAATGGACTACCATTGTCATAGAGAAGCGTGTTCCTCCTTATTGGAGGTTTCTAAGTAGAGACTGAATGATTACTTAATCAAATTGGTTGAAGAATGAGCTTCTTTTTTCTGGTAAAGGTTGGACTAGAGGGCCCCAGAGGTCTCTTCTAACTCTGGAATTCTGTGAATACACTTATTCTTGGTAAATATGTGGGCAGCTCATTGGCACAGTGGCACAGTGCCAGGCCTAGAGTCAGGAAGACTCATCTTCCTGAGTTCAAATCTGGCCTCAGACACTTACTAGCTGTGTGACCCTGGACAAGTCATTTAACCCTGTTTGCCTCAATTTCCTCATCTGTAAAATGAGCTGGAGAAGGGAATGGCAAACCACTCCAGGATCTTTGCCAAGAAAACCCCAAATAGCATTACAAAGAGTCAGACACTATTGAAAAGGACGAAACAACAAAATTCTTGGTAAAAAGATAATGGGTTAAAGGTGAACAATGTTGCATACTCTAGCCACCTAAAGGTTTAATGAAGATTTTTGTTATTATTGAAGGGAAAGTTCCCAGGGGCAAGGGAGGGAGGGGAGTTCCTATGGGAGGGAGTGAATACCGGAAATGAATGTTTTATAACAAGTAAAATGCATTAATAATGCTTTTTTAAAAATGAAAATTAAGCAGATGACATGCACGCACAATTCAGTATTATAATCAAACAAATCTTACCACAGAGTTCATGTAACTGGAATTAATATTAACATTATTTTGCTACATGATAATTTGACATAAATAAGAACCAGTTTATATAAATGAGAGCAATTAGCATTTCTTTTACAGAGCTAAACTAAGCATGTCTAGGGTATGCACTAGGAATGAATGGAGATAAACTGGATTGGACAGAAACCTGATTTGCGGTCTTTCTGAAAACCCCTGAAACCTACAACCTGGCAGGGGCTAAGGAAGTAACTTTGGACTATGTGATTCAGTCTCCATTTAAATCCAGGATCCTATCACCCAATGGCTAATGACCCAAGCCCTCTCCCACAAGGATCTGCTCAGAGGGTGGCAGCAAACTCCTCTTTCCTCCCCTAAACTACCTGCAGCCTGTGCTAAGTAAGTGTTTCATGAGGATATTAGGCTGGGGCTAGGATCATTAACCTAGGCAGAGTTAGAACTGGAATCTGGGTGTCCTGAGCCAAAGCCCAATGCCCTAACTAGCTAGGTAATTTATGTCAGGCAAGCCAAGTCACTGTCTCTGGCCCACAGATACCTAATCTCACATGAATGGGTTAGACTGCATAACCTACCAACCGTGCATGAAATTCACCTTCGTGTATGAAACTGAGTAGTCCTTTTTCTAATAATCCATATAGTGTTTATCTTTTTGTTTTTGTTTTATGCTTGTTGAAACCACATTACTTTGGGGTTTTTCGGTTTGTTTTTGGTTTTTACAATTTCGATTTTTATACCAAACTTAAACACCCAAAAAACAACATTTACATACAGAAAGCAGAACAGAAAAAAGAAGAGTATCTATGAACCTGTGAATCTCCAGTTCATGCCACTTTCTTTTAAAGGTACATAATAAATTCTATGCATTACTCTCCAACCTGCTCTACTTGTCTGTGCTTCCTTCTTTTCTGTGCATTTTTAAAAAATGTTACATTGCTGCCTCCATTCCCCTTTCTGGCATCACTGTTGTTAAGCAAGCACAGCGGAGCAAAGCGGATCCTCGTAGTACAGGGCTCCAGAACGCAGGGTTGGCTCTTCATCTTATGTCCATCCCCTCTCTGTTGGGAGATGGGTAGCTGGATTCTTCAGCCTATTCCCTCTCCCTCTGTTTCTAGGGATTCGGGCAGTTTTCACTTACGGTTTTCTTGTCTTCTATGTCTTTATGTAGTTCTTATGGAAAATACACTTTTTCATGGAAATCTACTTTTTCCTTTGTGTCTGTGCCTGAAAGAATTGTTGAGCTTGATTTGCAATAATTGTGTGTGTGTATTTCTTTTATCTACTCCTCTTTCTAACTCTAGTTCCAGAACTGGAGCTTTGTTCCAAGGCCAGTCTCTTGTTCCTATGCTGTGCTTTTTGGTGAGGTGGTCAGCCCTACTTGGCCTTACTTTAGGTCCCTTTTGTCCTTGTGCTGTCCTCTACCTCCAGGGCTTTGATGCTCCTGAGACTTTGAGGTTCAGAGCACAAGATCTTTGGGGTCCTCTCTAGCATCTCAGGATAGAGTTAAGGACCTCTGAGCCCACCCTCTTTCCCTAATTACCTTGTACTTAGCTACTTTGTATTTATTTGTATATGGGTTCTTCATATTTATTTTCTGTATAGATTTATACAAGTACTTGTCGTCTAAACTCCTCGCCAGTATGGATTATTTCATTCGTTATATCTGTATTCCCAGATGGGAGGAGCTTAACAAATGCTTACAGCTTGAATGAGTTCGTAATTTATCCCAGAAGCGATAGAGAGCCGTCAGAGCTTGTTGGAGTGGCCTGGTCACACACAGCCAGTAAGCATGAAAGCCAGAATTTCAACCCAAACATTTTGGCTACAAATTCCATTCTCTCTCCACTAAGGTAGGCATGCAGAGGGAAAGGGAGAGATTGTCGGCAGACAGCCAATATTAGTAAGGAGGGGGTAAGAAACACTGGAAAAATGGAGGAACAAAGCAATAGAAAAGAAAGTTGACATCCCCCTCCTGGGCTTCAGCCAAGACACGAATACCTCAACTGGGAATGGGCTAATAGGGAGTCAGAAATCATAATAGGTATTCTCACATTTCCTAAGTAAGGAGAGACTATGGGACATTTGAGAAAGAGAGCAGAGGAAAGCTTTTCTCACAAACTCAGCTGACTTGCTTTAAGATCAGGCATCATGGTTGGCATAGAACTAGTGGCTTTTACCTGGTAAACAGCGGGCTTTCTCAGGCAACAAGCGCTCATAGGTATGAAATATTCCTGCATTAGAGATCACAATGGGAGAAAAGATGTTCACCAGCCCTCTGTTCTTCTTCACCCTGACACCTACAGAACAGAGGAGACTAGATGAGGTCTGGAAAGTGCAGGTGCCTTTGGAGAAGGGAGGAGAAGGCTCCAGGACTTTCCAAGTGCTCTTTGGTTCTAGAGCAGAAAAGTCTGAGACTTCCCCCAAACTGCGCCTCCTGGGCCATCTTTCTTTCCCATATCAAAGGGCCTACCCTGTTCTCTTTTAGGTAGGTTGGATTTCCAAAAAAATTGTGCAGTACGTAAAGTTTTCACAGTCCCAGCTTACCAGTTCAGTAGCCACCCTAACCAGCCCCTAGGGATCTAAGTGTTAAAGTCTCTCCTTAATTTCTAATTCTTCATTCCCATTAGTATAAGAAGTATAAATGACTGCTAACAGCTTAAAGTATTAGTCCTTCCCTAGGGATCAATTTGCATATTAATAAATCTCCAAGCTTTAAAGGAATGACTAAAGCTGCAGCCAGAGCATTTAAAGCAAATTGAAAGATTTGGGAAGATTTGGGGGGAAATGAGAACTTCCCCATATGGAACCACTAGCCTGTGTGCGGGCAATGATAGAGTTGTGTGACTACTGTAGAATCAGGAGACCTGCCCTAGCCTTAACTAGCAATGGTCAACCACAAGTCCTACTGACAGGAGTCCAGAATCATGCTATTTCGTCTTCCTCCCAGGGTAGGCCTATGTCTAGGCAGGGCACTAGCTAGCTCTAAGTGTGGCATATCTGAAAGGTGCCCCCAGGACACCACCCTGTCCTGTAATCTCCCCAACAGCCCTATCACCATGCCGCAGATGTACCGCTGCAGCTAAATTCTTTGCCCTTAAAGTCAACAAGGGCATTTGAGAGGGGGCTAGCGATTAATTTAATTAACTACTAAAACATTGGTGTGAGTTACCTTGAATGTTTCTTAAGTAAGAGTTGAACAGTTTTTGCTTTGAGGGATATATGGGGAAGAGAGAAAGACATGCTGAACACAGGACACCTTTCTTTGTATCCCCTGCATTTCGCACAAAGCCTGGCACCGAGTAAGTGCTAAATCAAATGCTTATTGACTGATTGACCGCCCACACACCCAGAAAAGTAGGCCTAGAATGAGGGGCACCTAAATAAGGAGTGGCAGGACTGGAGGGACCTTTGTCCAGCTGGGTGTTAAAAGGACAGGTAGGAGTGCAGGAAGGTAAACTTTATTTCACAATTTTGCTGGATAATGTTCCATTCTGATTAAGGCCTTGCTTAGAAACTTACTGCCCTCCCATAGACACTAAAAAGGGTGACTGATGGGGAGCTACAGCCACCTCTCCCCACCCACTCACTCAACCTCTTCAGCCTGGTCCATACTCCCCCACCCCTGCAGTGGCTATCTCCTAGTTTGGAAAAGACGCTGCAGGACTTTTGTCCTTGTCCTTGCCCCTGATCCTCCCCACACTGCCCGAGCTGCCTCCCTATAATACCCCCCTCCCTTGGCCTCCTTCATGCTGTGCTCTGCTGACACCCTTCTCCCTCACTTACCCTCCCCCCCATCTCCGGCATTGCCTTCCCTTGCTCCTCCCACTCCGAACTGTGGACAAGTTCCCAGGGTTCCAGGCTCACCCTCTGTCTTTTTTCCTCCTCAGTGAAGTCGGCCACTTCTATTGTTTCCACCATCATTTCTAGGGAAGTTACTTCCTAATCAGTATGTCTAGCCCCCATCCCTCTTGAGCACAAGATCTTGTTTAGTTGTCTAGAATTCAACACGACCAAATGCAGACACACCCTCTTCCAACACCTTCTCTTCTTCCTCCCCAAATCCGCCCCTGAACGCCTTATTTTGATCAATCGCACAGAGTTGCTTTCTTACTCGGGCCTGAAAACCCACAGCCGTCTATACCTCATCTGTCCTCCTTGAGCCCCTGCACCAAATCCAGTCAATGCTCAGCCAAGGGCACAGGCAGAACAAGCTGTTCTTCCTGTTTTTCCCCTCGAGCCTCCATGTTGCTGTCAGAGATATCTTCCTAAGGTACACCTCGGATTGTAATTTTCCTATTCAAAAGTCTTCAGTGGCCTCCTATGGCCTACAGGAAAATTCAAATCCCCAGTATTGAAAGTAAAAGCTCTTAACAAGCTAGACCCAACTTACCTTTCCGGGCTGCTGTTACTACTCTCACTGAAGGTGCTAGGGAGGCTTCATGTACTGAGGTCCAACTTAGACAATAATAGCTAGTCTTTCTTTATAGAGCTCTTCAAGGTTTGCCAAGCGCAGACCTCAATGTTACCTCAATCCATCCTCACAACAGCTCTGGGAGGGAGATGCTATTATTATTCCCTTTTTACAGATGAGGAAACCGAAGCATAGAAAGTTAGGTGATGGATCACATATTTCATAAGTGTCTAAGCTGGAATTCAAACTCAGGCCTCTGTGACTTAGTTCCCTGAACACATGGCACATGTGCCTTTGCTTACATAGCTCCCTGGAAGACTGTCTCCCTGTCCCCCGCTCCCAATCCCTGCCTGCCCAATACTTCTGTTAAGCCAAGTCTCTGCCTCTCCGGCGGCATCTCACACATTCTGTCTTTCCCTACAGATACTGTGCTCCCAACAGCCAGTGGCTACCTTTGATTCAATTCTGTGTCTGACACAGTGCCTAGCCTAGCTTAACTCTGCTTACCCTCGATGCTCAAAATCAATTGGACACATGAGTGCCTGAATGTTCTTTCATGTCTTCCAGACAAGACTACAGCCCTCGACTACTGTTCCGGAGTTTTCAGGATTCTCTCCCCACAGGGGAGCCAGTTATGCTCAATGCCTTATACTCTCTACCCTAAGGGCTTTTTTCCTTTTTAAATTTCCCCTGGCCCCACCAATTCTAACAAGGTAGAAAACGGCACCGGTGACCCCCAGCTCTCACCACAGGCTCTTCCAGCTGAATCCAGCAGCACACTTTTCACTGTTGCACTGGTAAGAACTGCACCCCCAGTCTGCTGAATTACAGGGATAATGTGAAAAGCGATTTCACTGGAGCCTCCCCGAGGGTAAAATGCCCCTTCTAAGAAGTAGTTGATTAGTAAAGCATGCATAGAGAAGCTGGCATTCTTTGGGATTGCACCTAGAAGAAAGAGGAGAGAAAACTGAGTACTCTCAGCTGCACCCTCTCCATCTAGCCTGGGATAGTAATCCCTTCTGGAGCCAGTGGGTGCTGAATGTATCAGACGGCCTGGATCTTTTCCTCCCCAGGACCCCATGGTGCAGTCTGGGGCCTGGGAACCAATCCAGCCATGGCCGTTTGTTGATCTATGGGGCAGCAAGTGAGTCCTCTCCTCTCAGTATTGTAATGGTACCATGTCTCAAGACAGGAGCAAACTCTAGTTAGCCAAGAACATGGAGAGGAACATTCTCCAGGGAATGTTCACTGGCATGCTCACTGGCTCCAAGGGGCTCAGATCGAAATCTCATTGTTTATTTTCAGCAAAGCAAGAAGAAGCCAAGAGAACAGCAGCCTGTCCCCACAGGCTGCCACCCTCACTCCACCCTGGCTGTTCCCTTCATCTTTCCCCCCACCATCATATCCCCAGAGCCCAAGTTCCACACCATAGATGGGATGGATGTAGCTGAGCACGGCTTTGAGGTCCTGGGAGGCAGACAGCTGGCTGAGCACGTCCGCTAAGCTCTGGGTGGCTGCTCTCAAAAAAGGGGAGAAAAAGGCCAGCACCCCCAACCTGTCCAGCAGCCTCACCACTGGCAAAGGGATGATCTTCAGCAGGACTAGATGAAGTGTTCCTTTTGCTACCTCCTGGGGAAGGAAAGGAACCCAAAAGTTACTATATCCCTGCCCCTGCCAGCCCAAAGAGCTGGGACCCCAGTGACATGGGCCAGATTTCAACCACTAGGCAGTCTGGGGAAGGGGTCTTCTCTAAATGAAAAAGAGTGTCTTTCTCAAGCATTTCTTAGAAAGAAAGATCTTAATTTTGAACATATGACTCATTAATCCTTAATAAGAACCAATGCAGTTCCCTGGTGAACACGTTGACCTGAGCCCTGCCCTTCTCTATTCAAGGTAAAACTGGGGAGTGTGGGATGTTTGTTTTAGGGTTTTTCCATCACAACTTGGGGCTCCTTTGACCATTCATGGTCCCTTCTCACTTTGTCCAGTGCCCTCAGGCTGTGCCCCCTCCCACTCTGACTGCCCACAGACCACAGAAGGCTCATTCTCCACAGCAGTGTTCAGTGCTCCCAACCTGGCCTGAGCCCTCCTTCCCTCCATCAAATCCCCTTTCTTCAGGATCCTGTGAGGTGACAGGAGCTACTCTAATAACCTACTAAAGTTTTGTTAGGTACTAAGACTTAACTGTCCATCTCTGCCAGATCGTGTCTTTGTATCTTCATGGGAGCCCTCAATAGAGGAGGAAATCCCCAAGGCCATGACACGGGAGTACCAAGCAAACCTCCAATGTCCTGATGAGAAGCAGTTGGGGCCAGGACTGTTGTCCTTCCTCAATCACCACCCTTTCCCGTAGGTCAATATTAGCCCTTCCTGAGTCTCTGCAGGCAGGGAGGAGCCTACCAGGTCAGCCCAGTCTTACCTTCACCATCTTCATGTACTTGTCAATGGCAGCTTCTTCATTAGGAAACTTTTCCTTGAGGCCCTGAACATAGGCTTTCTCCCCAGAGTACATGGGGAACTCCCTTCTGCCGGTGGGTCCCTCCAGCACCACAACATCAAATGGGGAACCCAGGTAAGTCCAGTTCAGCTGCCCCTCTGAGATCTGGTCCAGGAAGAAGTGGCAAAAGCTGCCCTTTTTCAGCTGCCCAGCATAGTGGATTCCTGTCAAACGGTAGCAGGGAAGGTACCCCCTCAGGAGGTAGAAAAAGGAAACCGAGTCACCTGAAAATGCCTAGAAATCTCCAAATCTCCTTCACAACGAACCCTGTGCCAAGCGGGCAGTAGAGGAAAAGCCTATTTCCTTGGTGATACTGGCCACCTCCCCTGCTCTAGGCAAAATTTTCACCACTTTTGAATACCTGGTCCCTCCCCAGACTCACTTTACCTGTGTCAAACTCCAGGCCATCCCAGCCAAAGGTATGGCAACATCCCCCTGCCATAGCATGCTGCTCCAACACCAGGACACGTTTCCCTGCTTTGGCTAGGATGGCAGCTACTGCCAGGCCCCCGATTCCACTCCCAATCACCACTGCATCCAGCTGGTCTGGCACTTCAGCATCTGAGAAAGCTGCAACCCAAGAAAGGGAGAGAGGGGGTCAACTCAGACAGTGCCAAGTAAGGAGGAGGTGGGACAAGGGAACTGGCAGAAATATACTGAGGCGACCGAAGCAATTAGAAAAACCATTAGACCAGCATTAAACCATTAGACTTTGAACCCTGTCTCAGAGGCTGTGGTATGCAAGTGAGACATAGAATTGGAATTGGTGTCATCCAATCCAATGGACATTTCCCCTACCTGCTCAGCTAGACCTGAACGGACAGATTACAGGAAGCTGAGAAGTAGGAAGGTGAGCCTAGAGCTTGGAGCCTAAGCAACAATAACTCAGGATGAGGAACCCTGGATTGTAGCAGCCAAGAGGAAGAAGGCTGATGTGCATCTGCTCTGGGACCACCTGGACAGAAAGAAGGAGGTACACCGGCAGAGAAGGAGGCTTACAGCTGCTGGTTTCTGACAGAAATGTTCAAGCCTACATATTGGGCCATTCCCAAATATCCATCTCCAGGAGAAGGAATAAGGCTGTGCGGTGAGGAGGTGAGAGCCCCTAATGCCACAGGCTGGAGCAGGACAAAGCTACTCATGGCATCCTTGCAAATCATTGGCAATCCTCAGTCAAATAGACTCTATTAAGTTCCTACTATGTGCTAGGTATTGTGCTAAGCACTGGGCATACAAAGAAAGACAAAAACAGCCCCTGCCCTCAAGGAGCTCACAGTCTAATGAGGGAGATAATGCTAAAACAACCACAAACAGACGTGTGTGTGTGTGTGTGTGTGTGTGTCTGTATATCTGTGTGTCTGTGTCTGTGTCTGTGTCTGTGTTTCTCTGTGTGTGAAATAATCAACACAGGAAAGGTACCAGAATTAAGAGGGATTGGGAAAAGCTTCTTGTAGAAGGTGGGATTTTAGCTGGGACTTGATGGAGGCCACAGAAGTCAGGAGGAGGAGGAGATGAGGAAGGTGCTTCCTACTTCTCAGCTTCCTGTAATCTGTCCATTCAGGTCTAGCTGAGCAGGTAGGGAAAATGTCCATTGGATTGGATGACACCAATTCAAATTATATGTCTCACTTGTATCCAGGTGTAGGAGTTAGCCAGTGAAAACGCCCAGAGTCTGGAGACGCTTAGGAGTGCCTTAGTATCTTGCTGGAGGGGATGCCAGGAGGCTGCTATCATTGGGCCAGAGAAAGGTCACGGAAAGGTTCACATGGACATGAGAAGAGGCAGTGAGGAGCAGAAGATCCAGCTTCAGCCTTTGCTTCCAACACTTATTGCGGGAATGCCCAAAGGCAATCTTTTCTCTGAGCCACATTTCTTCATAAAATAGGAATAAAAAGGTTGCAGGGCCTTAGTCACTTTGATTCCAAATGCCTCAGTGCCACAGGTGGGTTCTTGAAGGCCAGAAGAGGGGCCCAAGACCTCGGCCATTCCTGCCACACTGGGATCTAAGTCTGGTGACAAACTCCAGACCTGTCATCCCATAACTATAAAGCCAAGTCCAGAGAGGTTTATCAAAAGGTTGGCTGTATGGTGGTGAAGATTTTGGCCAGAACATCTCTCAAAGACCATTTACTACGGGAGCTGCAATGCCTGTGGGTAGAGGGAGTGCCTACAGAGAATCAATCAATATTTATTAAGCACCTATTATGTGCCAGGCATCATGCCAAGCACTAGGGATACAAAAAGAGGCAAAAGATGCCTCTGCCTTTGAGGAGCTTACAATCTAATGGTGGAGACAGCGCACAAACAAATATATTCAAAACAAGCTATATACAGGATGAATAGGAAATAATTAACAGAGAAAAGGCATTGAAATGAAGAGGGGTTGGGGAAGCCTTCCTGGAGATGGTGGGATTTTAGCTGGGAATTGAAGGAAGTCAGGGAGGTTGGTAGTTAGAGCAAAGGAGGGGTAGCCAGAGAGAAAACCAGGAGCCAAGAAATGCAGCATCTTGTTAGTGGAACAGCCAGGAGGCCAGTGTCACTGGATCAAAGACTATAGGCCAGAGAGTGAGATAAAAGAAGATTGGAAAGTTTATGAAGGGCTTCGAATGCCAAAAAGAGGATTTTGTAGTTAGATACTGGAGATGATAGGGAGGCACTGGAGATTACTGAATAAAGGGGTGACATGGTCAGATCTGTGCTTTAGGAAATGACTTTGGTGGCTGAGTTTAGGATAGATGGAGTCAGGGAGACCCAACAGCACCTACTGTAATCATCAAGGTGATGAGGTGATAAGGGTCTGCACCTGGGTGGGGACAGTGTCAGAGGAGAGAAGTGGGGTATATTGGAGAGATTGTGCAGAAGTGAAATCTACAGGCCTTGGCAACAGCTTGGATATGCGGGAGGTGAGAGGGAGGGAGGATTTGAAGGTGTTGAGCCTGAGCAACTGGGAGGATGGTGTTGCCTTCTACAGTAACCAGAAAGATGGGGGGTGCGGTTTAGGGGGAAAGATAACGAGTTTGGTTTCGAGTTTAAGATGTTTACTGGGGCAATGGGAGGTGCAAGACTGAAGGCCGGCAGAGAGATTAGGGCAGGATAGAGAGATCTGAGTCATCAGTAGCGAGATGGTAATGAAATCCACGGGAGTTGATGAGATTACCAGGTGACAGAGGAAGAAGAGAAGAGGGCCCAGGACAGAACCCTGTGGGACACCTAACATGTAGAGGCATGATTTGGATGAGGAAACAGCAAAGGAGACAGAGAAGGAGCAGACAGCTGGGGAGGAGGAAAACTGGGGCAGTGCTGGGAGGAAGGGAGTCCTAAAAACCTAGAGACAAGAGGTTATCAAGGAGGAGAAAGTGATCAACAGTGCCCAAGGCTGCAGAGAGGTCAAAGAGAATGAGAACTGAGAAAAGGCCATGGCTATCTCTTGAAATGTTACTATTATTATGGTGACAACTGTGGGACATTTATATGCCACTGACCTATGCCCTTTCTCTGTTCCTTCCTTCTTAGTCCTAGAGTGCACCATCAGCAGAATTATGGAATATCCCAACTGGAAGGCAAACCAAAGGCCATCTACTCCAACTCATAACTGAACAATAATCCCCTCCGTAGAATCAATCGAGGCTTGGGAGACTTCCAGTAAAGGGGAGGCCCCGGCCTCCTCAGGAAGGCAATTCTGCTTAGGAATGGCTTGAGTTAGAAGGAGTCAACCTGAAGCCGCCTCTCTTCAACTGCTTATCCATGGCTCCTAGGTCTAAGTAGGGCAAGGCAAAGCCCTCTTTCTCATGGCCTGTCACATACTTGAGACCAGTGATCATCCATGACATTTCCAGAGGACTCAGGCTGAACATTCTGGAGAGAAAACTGTGCAGAGTGAAGTGAATTGTTTTTCTCTTTTTCTTTGCAACATGGCTAATTTGGAAGTGTTTTGCATGACTACGCATATATAATGGGTATCACATTGTTTGCTTTCTCAATGAATAGGGAAGGGGTTGGAGGGAGAGAATTTGGAACTCAAAAAAAAAATTTTTTTTAAGGCAATTGGGGTTAAGTGACTTGCCCAGGGTCACACAGCTAGTGTCAAGTGTTGGTCTGAGGCCGGATTTCAACTCAGGTCCTCCTGACTTCAGGGCTGGGGCTCTATCCACTGCACCACCTAGCTGCCCCTCAAAAAATTTTTAAATGAATCTTTAGAATAAATAAATAAAAATTTCAAAGTCAGAATTCTTGGGTTCAAATCCCAGTTCGGTAGCTTACAAAAAAACAAACTAAAACACCAAAATCCAAAACAGCGATTGTGTTCTCCCTGAACCTTCTCTTTTCTGAGATAAAGAGCTCCGTTTCCTTCAGCTGCTTCTTGAATGTCCTGGTTCCAATCCTACCCCTTCCTGTCTGCCCTTTCTAAACTAACCCCAATATGTTAGCATCCTTCCTAAAATGGAAGCCCTCTTCCTCCTCCATCGAACTGAACAGGATACTATAGATATAGATAGAGGAAAGAGGGGTAGAGAGGTGGAGAGAAGGAGAAGGAGGGGGGAGAGAGACAGAGACAGAGAAGAGAGAGAGGGAGAGAAAGAAGAGAGTGAAGAGGGGGAGGAGGAAGAGAGGGAGAGAGAATGTGTGTGACAGTGTGTATGTGAGTGAAAGACAAACAGGGAGGGTGGAGAGAGGAAGACAGAGGCAGAGGCACAAAGAGAAGCGTATGTGTGGAAGAGAGAGAGAGAAGCAATTAATCTACTCTCTACTTCGAGGATTTTGTCTCTGTAGGGCTGCTCTATCAGAGCATAAGCCCTCAAAAACTTAATAGATGGGCTTCATGAAAGTTGCCACAGTTGAACAAGTGTGTTAGTTATCCTCTTCCCTAAGGAAGGGAAGGAAAGGAACAAGCATTTCTTAGGTGCCTATTGTGTGCCAGGCACTGGACTGAGTGCTTTACAGGTATCTCATTTGATCCTCGAAATAACCCGCAGAGGTAGGTGCTGCTAGTAGCTCCATTTTACAGATGAGGAGACTGAAGCAGGCAGAAGTTAGGTGGCTTGCCCAGTCACAGCTATTAAGTGTCTGAGGCTGGATTTAAATGTTGGCCAATTAGGTGGTAAGCCTTCCCACCTTGGCTAGGCAGGGCCTCAGTTTGGCAGGATCTGACAAAGGTTACAAATCACTGGTATAGCCTTCAAGAGCCCAGGGTCATGTCCATACCATGGTTTTAAAAAGGAGGGAGCAAAGATTATAGAATCACAGATTAAAGCTCAAAAGGGTCTGAGATTTACTGCAACCTCTTCATTTTACAGATAAGAAAACTGAAGCAGCGTGGTAAGGTCTAGTGGATAAAGTGCTAGCCTTGGAGCCAGGATGAGCTTGGTCTGACAATTTACCAGCTGTGTAACCAGGAACAAGTCACTTAAGTTCTCTCAGCCTCAGTTTCCTCATTTGTAAAATGGGGCAGGATTAGATAGCCTCTGAGATGCCCTTTCAGTTCTAAATCTGGATCCTATTGAGAGGAGGTGCCTATGGTCACCCAGGTAGTGAGTGGCACAGCTGGGACTGGAAACACTTGCCTTGTTGATGCTAAATCCAGCTTGCTTTCTATCACATCCCACCGCCTGGTAAAATACAGGCTGTCCCAAATGTCTTAGTGCAGTTTTAAGCTACTAAAGCTATATAACCTTATTTACTACGCTGTAATTTAAGATACTAATGCTTAAAACTGCACTGAGACTTTTGGGACATCCTGTACAAGGAGTACATACGGAGACTTAAAGACTTCAAAGTCAATCAATAGACATGTATTAAGCACCTACTATGTGCCAAGCATTGTGCTAAGCTCCAGAGGTTCAAAGAAAGGCAAAAACGCTATCCCTATCCTCAACGAGATCGCATTCTAATGGGAAAGACACACATACACAGCACAAACAACTACATACAGACAAGATAGAGGCAGAGGACATGGCAGGTAATCTGAAAGGGAAAGGCATTATATTAAAGGAGGGCCTTTCTCAATTTTTATTGGAAACTCAGACTCACATGACAATAATGATATTGTTCATCACAATAATAGTTAAATTATTATTATAAGTGGCATAGGTTCAACAACTTGGCTGAGGGTCCTCAAGCTCGCCTGATAACCCTGCTGGCGCTGTCAGAATAAGAGGCCACTGCCCTCCCCCCTAGTTTGAGGCCCCTTCCGCCCTCCCTCACTGTCCTGCAGCTACCTGCGCTCTGAGGAGGCATTTACTTAATGCTGATTGGATTGGATTAGATGCTTTGCTACTGTTCTTCCATAAATCCTCTAAATTACAACAGCATTTTACAAAGAAGGAAATCGAGGCGCAGGGAAGGGATCCGAACCTGCATCTCTCCAGATTCCAGAAGCTGGGCTCTGGTCTCCCCCCCCCCCCCCCCCCCCCCCCCCCCCCCCCCCCCCCCCCCC